GGAGCCCGAACCGGAGCCCGAGCCGGAGCGGGAAGCGGAGCGAGAAGCGGAGCGAGAAGCGGAGGAGGAAGCGCCCCCGGCCGCGGCGCCGGCCGAGCCCCGGCGCCAGGAGGATGCGCGCGGCAAGGTGAGGCCGGCGCCCCCGGGTCCCCCCCCCGGCCCCCGCAGCGCCCCGTGCCGCAGAAGGGCCCTGCGGCCGGGGGGGGGGACACGGATGGGCATCGGGCAGAGCAGCCGGGGAGCGTTCAAGGGAATGGGGCACGCCGGAGTCTCCCAHGCTTGGAAACCCAGCTGGGTGGGCGGGTTGCACCTTCTCGAGGTGCAAGGGAGGGTGTTTTCTGCACCCCTTTCCTGTAGGATGTGGCACTGTCCCCTTGCTGGCACCTGCTGAGYGCCGGTTCTAGGCCCACTGTGGGCAGAGGGTCTGGGTCCCCCCTGCGCTGGCACCRCAGCAGGATCCTCAGCCCCCAGGCTGGGCTGGGGAGGGCTGATGGGGTGCCCATAAACACCTGGTAAATCCTCCTCCAGCACCGGCTCTTATTTAAAAATAAAAGGCTGAGCCAGGGTCCATGGGAAGAGCCTGCTCTGCTCCTGCGGGATCCGCCGACCACCTGGCGCCCCACGCTCGGGAACATCCTGAGAAGCGCCAACTCATTGCACATGTGGCCCAGGGCAGCTCCTGGTCCTGGTGGGAGGACGTGGCTAAGGGGAGGGCGGCTCAGGAGAGACGAGTCCTTAGCAGGTCCAGACAGCACGTCTGGGGCCGGGAGCGCAGGCCCGCGGCCAGGCGGCCTCGCGGCTATAATTAGCCCTGCTCGTAATCCGCATCCCGCTGCTGGGCCGCGCCTGGGCACAGGGGCGGCCTCTGGCTCGGAGAGCATCCCCACCAGCTTGGCGGGCACCCTTGGGTGGGTCCCGGTGGGCTGAGAGCCCCCGGCTGCATCCCGGTGCTCCGTAATGCGTCCGAGCGGGCTCTGAGCCCGGTCTGGAGTGCAGGGATGTGGCTCTGCCTTCGTGTGCTGGCACCTCGGCTCTTCCCCACCTCCCATCTTCTGCTCCAGGACTTGAGCTTCTGTTTGTTCCCGGTCCCAGCAAACCCTTTGCTGGCAGCCCYGCTCCCTGCAGTGTCCTGGCCACCTCCATCCCTTTGCAGGGCCATTTATTGGTGCCTCGTGCTGCAGTGGTCCCGGTCCAACGGGAGAGCCCTGAGAGCCGTGTTGGGCTGCAGGAGCAGGGCTGGCTCAGCAGAGCCTGGCAGCTCCTTCCCTGCCTTCCCAGGAGTGCAGGGAGCCGGAGCTCACCCAGGGCTGGGGGCGCCAGGTCCCTCCGCCTTGTTGTCTGCCACAAGCTCCTCGTGAGCAGGTTTCTCCTCTCATCTCAATGTTGCTCCTCTCTTCCCTTCCGTCCCGGTCCGTGCTCCCATCTGCTCCCTGCCTGCGCTGCGCTCGGGGCAGCTTCACGTGCCGTTATCCTGCTGCCCCCCAGCAGGCACGAGATGAGGGAGCAGGGGGTGCCTCGTGGCCTCCCCTCCAGCCCCCTTTTACCAGGCACATCCCTGGGAAATGTGTCCCACGGAGCTGCTCTTGGCTCCTTCGGGAGCTGCGGTCCTCGGCGTGACTCAGCACGGAGGTTCCCAGAGCCGTCCATGGAGCTGCTCCGGCAGGCTCCAGCGGTGAGCAGGGAGGGCCGTGTCCAGCACGGATCTCTATTTATTTCCTATCATTATTTTCCCTCCTCCTTGCCTGCCTGTCTCGGAGTGCGCCGGGGTGGCTCACTGATTCACTGCAGCCGTTTGGCAGGAGAGCCCGTGGCCAGCGCGCCTGCCGAGTGCTGCGGGCATCCGCGCTGCTCCCCGGCACCCTTGGGTGCTCCGTGCTGTGTGCGGCAAGGAAACTGCCAAGACTTTGACAGCCTCCCTTAGCAGCCCGGGGGGACAGGCAAAGAGCTGGGGTCAGAGCCGGGAAAAGGAACCTCCCCTCTCCAGGAGGAATCCCGATCCTTATTGCAGGGTGGGATGGCGGGATGTCCGTTTCCCAGTGTGAGCGAGGGAGGAAACTAAGGCAGGCGAGGACGGGCGGCCTGAGCGAGGTTGAGCCGGCAGAGAGGGGAGGACGTGGCGGGCGATGCCAGCGGGGCGGCTTCTGTTGGGCCGGGGGGCTCAGTGCCYGGGTCTCCCCGCTGGGAGCGAGGCCGGAGCCCCCTTCCCGTGAGGACATGGGCGCCTCCACCCTCCAATAGCTCCTGCCCCCCTTGGCCGGTGCTGGAGGCTGCAGGGTGCCTAATTAGCCTGCTGTTAATTGGCTCCTGGCAAGCGCTGCCGCCRTGGAGCCGAGCCGGCTGCTCCTGCGCTGCCCGGGGCTGGAGCAGGTGCTGCCCGCTGTAACCGCCGCGGTTTCGGCCCCGACAGCAGCCCGCGGGCAGCACCCAGGCCAGGAGGGGCATCTCCGTGCAGAAAAGCGGCTCTTGTTTTAGAGCAGCTGCTGCTTTGGCTGCAGGGAGGGTGGCGAGACCCACGGCGGGCTTGGGGTGAAAGGGACCTGCCTGCCCAGCAGCTGCCTCACTTGGCTCAATTCTGCCCAACTTTTTTATTTTCTTTTTATTATTCCTTTTTAATATTCTTTTAAAAACTCCTTCCTTCCCCTTTTCCTCCCGTCTTTTCTTTTTCTGGCTCGCCCTTTGTCTGTCTCCCTCTCTTGCAAGCTCTTGCATCAGGCTTGGATGAGAAAGTGCAGCCATAAATGGCAAGGCGCTGGGCCCGGGAGTTTATTCCAAGGCGATTTTATCTCCTCCCCACCTTTGCAGTTCCCTGTGTTGGAGTGGGGCTGTTGTTTTTCCCCCCATCCTGTCCAAAGACGCCAGGACAGTCCCTTTGATCAGGAAAAGAGGGGCAGACACTGGCCTGACACCAAATCCTTGAGATTGGCAACAAAGCCCCGGGACTTTGTTGCCCGATAGCGGCAAACTCCAGAGTTGGGGTTTTTGGAGGGCCAGGATGGGCTTATGTGTCCGAGCCACCCCAGTCTTCTGGGAACATCGATGCCCAACGAGGTGCCCTGTGGCCAGTGCCGCCCGTGCTGGGAATCTCCTGGCATGTCCTGTGCTGCTCCCTGCRCCTCCGGCCCCAGCGGCTGCAGTCGGATGAGATTGAAGGCGTCTCAGTTGCGGGCCATGGAAACCAAAGGGCACAAACACTTTTCTGATGACCTGGCAGATGCTGAAGCTCCAGAGCCAAGAGGAGAAGGCAGACGCTGTGCTAGCGTTCCGAGTTGTTGGACATGGACTCGGCGGTGGCGGGTGTTGCTTTTGGAAGGAGGGTCRGGGTGCTGGCGCTCACGGTGCTTCTCGGGGCCACCCGAGGAGCTCTATTCTTCCAAGCTTGTTCCTAACTGATTTTGGTGGGGGGCGAGTTGTGCAGCTCTCAGGTGCCCGATACGCTGGACTTTGGGGAGCCCTGGGCAAGCCCTGGAGCCCAAGCGCTATTCCCGTGGGAGCATCCCTGCCATGGGAGCTGCTGCCAAGCGAGCYGGGGCTGGGCACGCAGCCATGGGGCCGCGCGTCCTTGGGGCCGGACAGCTGCTCCGTCCGCGTCCCCCCGCGATGCCCGCGGCCAAGAGCGCTCTGTTTGCGGCGCCAGCTGGCCCGGCCGCCGCGGCAGGGCCGCTCCAGATGCTCCCGGATAACCGCGCGGCTGCTGCCTTGCCGCCGGCCCGCCGGAGCCCGGGGCGGCAGGGCAGGGTCCCGGGGGAGCCGCCACGCTCCGCGCGGGCCCGTTTCGTCCCCCCGGCGGTGCTGTGAGTGCCCTGGTTGCTGTTCGGCACCGAGTCCCGGCAGGCTCCATGTACCCGGCTCCTGCCCACGGAACCTCCTCCGCGGGCGCCGGCCCCGCTGARCCCGGGAGCTGCCCGTGCTGGGTCTGGCCGGTGTCTGGAAGCTGCTTCCCGCCCTGATGTGTCCGCACGTGTCCTAGCAGGGAGCAGGGCTGATGAGGCTTCTTGCAGCTCGTAGGAGGCCATCCCACCTCCTAGCTTGTTTTATTTTATTTATTTTTTTTTTTCTTAAAGAGTGGTATTTAATAGCTGCTCCTGCCATGGCAGAGGTGGTGGCCAAGGTGCACAGCAGGGGACAGGGAGATGGAGGCCAGAGTTTATCGGGGGGCTTGTCTGTCCTCAGCGAATTCCCTTCCTGCCTGGTTGTCTGTCCCAGCTGGAGGAAACGGTGTCAGACCCAGCCTGGTGGGCACAGGAGCTGGGAGCCCTTGGGTGACACGAGTGTTTACGTGCTCACACTCCCGGGCTGKCACCAGGGCACATCGGGCAGCGCCTGCGGCCCAGGGGAGCAGGAGAGCTGGGGCTACGGACAAGATTTGCCCTCACCGAGACCTTTTGTCTCCCCGTTTTCCATGAACGGCAACGTGTGCTGGCCCAGGAGCCACGTGCGGACGCTGAGCTGGGCAGTCGGCTCCCTGTGGCTGCTCTCCCACAGCCCTAACCCACCTGGGTGCTCCTCAAGCCTCCAGTTTCCCGTTGGGATGGGGACATCACTTGCAGTTCACAGGCTGAGGCCTTGGAGATGCAGATTCCAACCCCCAGACAAGTCCCCAAGGACAAGGCCAGTTGAGGCCCCGAGGAGGCCCCAAAGCCACCAGGATCCGGTGGCAGAAAGCAGACGAGCGCGTGGCCGGTCGCATCCGTCCGCCCGGCCCTGCAAGAGGCAGGGAAGTGCTGTGGCCGCTGGGGTCTGGCGGGGAGCCTTGTCCTCACCCCTACCTTCTTTTTAACCCCCTGCAGGAGGAAGATCCAGGCTCGGAAACCGAGAAGCTGGTGGTGAAGGAGCAGGAGGATGAGGATGGTGAGTGGCCGGCAAGGCTTGTGGCGAGGGTGTAGCCAGGTAAAAGCCTCCGAGTGCTTTCAGATGCGTAGGAGGGGAACGAGGTGCAAAAAAAGAGAGAGAACTACAAGAAAATGCAGCCCCTGGGACCYTCGCAAGCAGGAGGGGAATGGGGGCAAAACTGCTGTTTTTTAATTCGTCCCTCTTGCCCCAGGCGCCCCTCGTGCTCCCCCTGCGTTGCGCAGATGTCCCGGGCCACGGGGATGGCTTTTGGCTTGGTGTCGTGGAGAGGCCGCCCAAAGAGCTCCTTGCTTGCGTCCAGGCGGATCTCCAGGGGCTTTAGCCAGAGCCCTGTTTAACTGCTTAGGCAATTACTCGATTGGAAAATGATTAATTGACTAATTGGGGTGACAAGCGGGCCTGGCAGGGAACGAAACAGATGGTGACGAGCAAGAATGTGGCTGCAGGGGCTTCTCCATCCCCAGCAGCCCCGGGGACGCAGAACACCCACGGGGGGACGAGGGGCACCGGTGGGGACCATCCCCCTTCCTTGCCCCACTTTSCGCCCGCCCTTCCTAGGGCGCCCGTGGCAATCCCCGGCTCAGGAGGATTAGGCCTAATGCTGCCCAGAAGCAAACTTTAATCCCGGAGGGCTCGTTTTGGAGCCGCAGGCGAGAGGAGGAGCCGCCGCCGGGTCCTGCGCCTGCCACTCCGCGCGGCCTTCGGGCTGAGGTGACAGCCCTGGCCGCGCGTCACGGCCCGCCGGGAGTCCTGCGGGGCATCTGCCGCAGGCTCACTCCTCCTCCACGTCATTTAGGACACTTCTTAGGTGTTTCCGCGGGATAAAACGCTCATTCTGGCTCCGCAAGAGGGTCGGCGCTGTCCTTCCTTTCGCATGTCTCCTACGTGTCCCTTGGGTCCTCACCCCGTAGAGACCCGTGGGTGCCACCAGGTTTGCATCTACAGAGGTGCCCTGCTCAAGCAGAGGTCTCGGTGCTCTCCCGGTGTGTCAGGAGCGGGGCCCAGGCGTCCTGGGCCTTCTCCTGCGCGGTGGCACGGAGGTGYCAGTCGTGGGGAGGTGAGAGCGGGCAGAAACGAGCCCCGAAGGGCTTMCCGCTGCGAGCTGCTGCCTGCACCAACGTCACCTCGCGAGCCCGGGCTCGGGCACTTGCAATGCCAGGCGGGAAGGCRAAAGGCAAATGTTTTATTTAATATCAGCTTGCTGGGGCTCTCAGTAAGTAGGTCACCTCTTCCTTCTGCAGCGCTTCTGCAGCCCGCGTGAAAATCCCGCCTCYCGCTTTCCGTTTGTTTTCAGGCCACGAGGAAAGTTCCTGAGCTCCGTAAAGAGCCGGCGGTCCGGGAAGGCGCGTGCCGGCTCCCTGCTAACCGCGGTCTGCGGGCAGCGAGGCGGCCGCCTCCTCTCCGCCCGCCTCCCTTAAGTCTTTTCTGGTAGGGCGGCGATGAAACTGCCCTTTTTTGGGCAGGTCAACTCCCAAATCTCATTTGACTTGGCAGAAAACCATGGGAGGGAAAGGATCTTAATTGTCCTTGAAAATCAGGAAAGCGATACAGAGGTAATAAAATGGCTCCTGGTCTGCATCAGGGTAAGAAACAGGATGCTACACCCTCTTTTTTATTTTCTTCCCTCTTAATATCTCCCAAAGCAGCGGCCAGTTGGATTTTCCTTCAGTGCATTTCTGTGGTCACTCGAGGGGCTGATAAGCTGCAATGTTGCTGCTTGTTTCCAGCTGGCCGGGCTTGTTGGTGGCTCCTTGTGCAGGGATTTTCCACCAAGGGAAGCGGGATATGGCTGGGCTGCATGTTCAGGGCTTGTGTTCAGATGCTCAGAAAGCTTTTTGGGAAAGAGTTAGCCTCGCATTTCCCTTAGGAGCCCAGTTTTAGGATTAGAGAAATGCTTTGGGTCAGGACTGATCCTTTGGACTTCACAGGAAAGCTCTCTGGGAGCAGCRATGTATGGGAGATGTAGAGGAGGAGGGAGGAAATGTTGTTATCTGCAGGTTTCTGTGAAATCTCCAGGCTTAGCTGCTCACAGCGCATGAGCATCGTGGGCACCGGTCACGCTCTGTGCCTCTACTCGCTTCCCCAGCATCCAGCAGTGATCCAGCGGTGCCTGGGACGCCTGGGCTGCCTAGGCAGCCTTTGCAACTGCTCTTCCAGATCTCAGGTTTCCTTATCTACAAAATGAGGCTCTGATATSTGGATTGCCTGGGAATGCCCCCGGCCTGCCAAATTTTGGCTGCAGCTCCACATGAGTGAGCTTGGCGCTGGAGAGGTCTTCAAATGAAGCAGTTGACCCATGAAGATGGGGATGAAATCCTTAAGGACTGTGTGGRGAGGAAAATGAAGGGAAGTAACTGGTGCTGAGTTTGGGTGTGAGAAAGGGAGGATGAGAGAGGCTGTGGTCTATTTTCCATAGGGTGAGTGGAGCAGGAAAGACATCCATGAGTGTGGACCTGCAACAGCTGTGATGCGGACTAGAGGCAGCTTCTCGGGTGGCTTGGGAGASAGGATGACTCCATAGGTTATATACAAGTTGAGGCTTTCTCTCCTGACACAAAAACCGCCTTTGGGATGTTGCTGGAGGTATCACTTGAGACATTTCATTTGTGGATAACAAACTGCYGTTTGGGTATATGCAGATAATGGGGTGCTGCTTGCCTTTTGTGGGCCCCTTGTGGGCCCCTCAGACCCAGGGACTGTGGAAACAGCAGATGTTTCTAAGTGGATGTGGAAACAGCAATGTGAGATGGCTGCTTGTGAGGCAGCCCAGGCCYGCAGTCCTTGGGAGATAAAGGTGCACAGATAAACAGCTCACAGATAACCAGTAAAGGCAGCGACTCAAAGCACCCGCTCTTCCTGGGCCGCCCTTTGGGTTGACCTCCACTCCTGTTGTTTCCTGCCCATCTGCAGAAAGATAAACCAGAGGAGAGKTTTTTTTAAAAGCAAACAGTGCTGTAACAAAATCCGATTGGAAAAGGATCGGCTTTGGCTCAGAGTCCATGAGCTTCAGCACTCTAATTAGCACAAGATGGAGGCTGAGGAGTCTAGGGTGGCTGGGAAGGTGGAGCAGAGCATCCAGGCTGGGAGAAGGGACCCATTCCTCTTAATATCTGTCAGCTGGTGGCAGAGAGGGAGGTTTGGGCACAGCTGTGGTTGGTCTTGGCTCAGCTCTGTTTGCAGCCTTGGGATCYGCAGCGTGGCCACCTCCTTTCTTCACCAGCTTTAACAAAGGCTGCGAATGGAAAGGTCAGGGAGAGCTGGTGGAGCTGGCAGGGGCTGTGCAGCTCGTGGCAGCTCTGCTTGTAGCACCATCTGTGACCCCAAAGCACGGGAAGTGGCCTCTGGATGAGGAGGGGGAGACAGGAGGAATACAGGTCTGGAGCAGGGAAGAAAGCTGTAACTGCTGCAAGCTAATCAGGGCAGGATTAGCATGTCTTGATAAGCCAAGATGGACCTGCGAGGCTCTGAATCCACGCAGAGCAACAGCATATGGGTCCCATGCTTTAGGATTTACTTGTGTCTGCGTCCTAGTCACGCATAGCAATCACCACAGTAGTAAAAATTCTGCAGCCTCAGGGGTTTCCAGTTTCCTCCTCTCCAACCAGCCACTGACTCGGTGTCCAGGAGGCCCTGGAGCCARATGTGACCAGGTCTGCTGGCACAACACAGCACCTGGGTGCGTGCTCAGAAGGAGGGCTCAGGGGAGCAAGTCCATTGCTGTTCATCATTGCTCTGCAGTGCTCCCTGGCTCACCTATCTCCTGCTTCTCTCTGTCCCTCCCTCTCTTTTTCCTTCTACAGCTGCAGATGAGACGTTCTCCTTCAAGTACAGTCCTGGAAAGCTGAGGGGAAACCAGTACAAGTCAATGATGACCAAAGAAGAACTCGAGGAAGAACAAAGGTAGGTTGAGTTTCTTTTTGCTTCTTGCTCGACCCTATCGTGCTGGCCTCCTCTTGAAGGAGCTGGGGGTGGGGGGGGGTTCACACCTCTCTTCCCCCCAAATTACTTTGGAGTTTGGCTCAGTAATTCATCACACATAGAGTCCAGTCCTCTCGTACCCAGGAAGATGCCAGAATGAATAGAAAAAATGCTGATTTAGGAAATGGAGACACGGTGGCTCTAGATTCCTGTGGAGCTGTTCAAAATCCTTCTCTGGATGCTTAGAGCAAATTTCCCAGCTGATGTAGTTCCTTCAGTCCCATAGCACATCTTCTGAGCAYCTCCTAGCTCTTCCTCTCCCTTTACAACGTGGATGTCTTCCAAACTGAAGATGAAGGCATAGCTCAGAAGTAACAAAGTGACTGATTGTAGAGCCTTAGAGTTCCCTGCGATTCGGGAAGAATGGGAAGTCTGTACCCAGGGCTGGCTTCTTGGACACAGCTGATGATGAAGTTATGCTGTAGTGTTTACCTGGCAAAGAAAGAAAATTATCCATTCCCACTTACTTGCTGAGAAATCTGTAAAGTTTACTGCAGAGCTTGAACCCTGCCAGCGGCAAGTGCCTGCCCTGGTACCAAAGACCAACTTTTAAACTCAGGAATTCCCACTGCCCAGCCTATCCAGGGAAAACCAACTCGGACCTTGCACCGTGAGCTGCAAAGCCCTTTYCCAAGCCGGTCAGTGCTGTCCATGTGCAGAGCCCTCCTCTCCCTGGCAGCGCGGGCTCTGCGCTGTGTGCAAGAGAGGGTCCTTCAGCCCATGGCACCCATGCTGAACCGGAGACATCAGACCCCACAGATGTGGGCTTTGCCCTACAAATAGGCTGTGCCAGGCTGTTCCCTAGCAGACACGGGTGGCTCCTACCGCTTTCCTTTTGGGAGAGCTGCAGGAGCTGATTTCCCAGTGGAGACTCGAGGCAAGCCTAGGAGGTGCCTCCAGCTGCCCTGCTTTGGAGACAGCTTTGCTTCTTGGGGTGACTGCAAGCAGGGGCTGTTCCCTCCCTCACTGTCCCTGCAGAAGGGTGAGGGACCTGATTCTCCCCTAAGGGTGACCACCTTCTGGCATGATTTAAGGACATCTGTAGCCTGCGATACCATGGCAACCTGCATGATCTCAAGGTCTAACACAGGCGAAATGGAAATTGGAGTGGAGCAGGGTGAGGGCAAGGACAGAGGGATTGTATCGCGCCCCTGGATCAGGTGCTCTCCTGCTAGGCAAGCCTTGCTCCAAGACCCCTGTGCATGGGGCTATCGGGTGATGGAGGCTGGGCTCATGGTGCAGGGGAAGCACGGGAGGCACTGAATTCCTGTGAGCACAAAACATGCGGAGTGTGGGCGTTAGCAGCAGCTCTTGGACAGGAGAGAGCTTTCCGAAAGTGAGCTTCTCAGAGCAAATCAGTCCCTTTGCCCTTCAGCCCCATCCCGAGGTCACCCAGAGGGGTTGTACAGCACTAACACATAAGTCCAGGACAGATTTTCTCGCTAGTGGAGCAGTTGCAAGGCTGAGTTGGGAAGACTTTCGCTGTGTCTTTTCCCCTCTGAACTAATCCGTTTGGAAGGAGACAGTAAATTCAGGATAGAGTCTCCGTCTGGAAGGAATGAAGAAGCTCAGAAAATGAGCCTGTCACCCTCTAGTAGCCTCCAGACTGTCCCATCCTTGCTGCAAAAGCCCTGCTATGTCCTGCCCTGTTAGCAGAGTTGTCCTGCAGCCCGTGGCATTTCTCTCCAGCTTGCACCATATGATTTTCATGTCGAGCAGCGGCTTCCCTTTCTCCCTTGGCTTCCAGGTTCCCAGCTACCTGGGATGCTGGGCTTTGTCTGCCTTGTAGCACTGCGAGGAGCAAAGCTTTGCAGGGCTGTGAGATCTGGGGTTGGCCGCTGAAAGGAGATGTGGTTGCGGCCGAGTTGACTCCTCGCTGCTAGCACCAGCAAGGATGTAGTTTGCTGTCTGCCTTTGGTTATATCTTTATTGTACCTGTAGTCCCTAAGCTGAGAAACACTAAACAGGTCTGTTGGCTTCGTTGTGTTTGCACTCGGGGAAGGTGGCAGTGCAATGAACTGAGTGAATGTGAAAGAAACCCACAGGCTCAATGGAGATTGCTCTTTATTTTTGGATCCTGTTAAGCACTGATACAAAAATCTACGTGGATCAGGGAAATTCAGACCAGCTCTTGTACCGCAGTGGCTTCCCCTAAGTCAGGAGTGCTGTAGGGCCTCAGATGGATTCCTCTGTGGCAAAAAAATGCTCCTTCCTTTGGCCTGAGGACACTGGTGGGACGTTGGTGATGGACAGCAGTAGGGCTGGGATTTCGTGCTCTGGGCTCTTGGGGGCTCCTGGGGGTGGTGATAGGACCTCCCAGGTTCACATCAGGCTGGAGAGGTGCCAAGATGTGACCGTTTAGGACTCCTGGACAGCACGTTGGCCTTGGGGTCCTTTCTGAACCACTCAGCAACCTTCTGTGGCTAGGGGCCATTGGCAGGCTTTTTTTTTTTCTCCCTACTATTCCTTTATTTTCTTGTCTCTGTTCTTTGTGTTGTTTGTTTCTTTAAGATAGCTTTATGGATATATATATATATATATATTTTTTTTTTTTTGGACTTGCTTTGCTGCTGACTTATTCTTGCTTCCCCAACTCCTTCCTATGGCATCAGCAATGTTTCCTTGCAGGCCGGAGAGATGGTGAAAGGTGGCAGGGCTGCTGCCAGGTAAGATGCTTGGCGGGCGAGCTGAGCTCTGTCCTGCACCTTCCTCCCTCTGCGCTCCTCTTCCTCTCCCCGACTCCATGCTCTCCTGCAAGCCGCCCGCGCTGCCGTTCTGCCGTGACCCAGGTTTGCCACCTTTTGTTGCAGGATTGAGCTGACCTCTGATCTCACATCTCTGTAGCAAGTACCTTAGGTCCTCGGCCACAAACATTCTTGCAAATCTTTTTGGTAAGAACACGACGTTCGTTAGAAGTAGTGGTACCACTGATAACATCTGCTAATGTGTCTTTTGCTTTCCGGTTTCTTTTCCTGGGGATAGGCTTGTGTCTGGGCTGCTGTTGACCACCTCTCCCACCTCCTTCACAACCTCTGTCGTTCCTCATAACGGATTAATGAATCTCCTCCCCTGCATCTCCCTTTCMATGAGCACTCCAAAAGGCTGGGGGGGACAGGGTCTTGCACGTTTACACACTCACCTCTCCCTGCAGTTAGACATTGCCAAGACCCTTTCAATTCCCTGATTTGGAAAACTGGGGCCACAAAGTGAGTTGATAGGAGTTAGTCCTCCTCACAGGAGGAGCCGAAGCCYGGAGACCAGCTTTATGTTTGCTCCTAGCCTGGCACTGTCAGCCCGCCATCCCCAAAAATTCAGGGGAGCCCTCCAGCTCCCATGGACTACTGATTTTTGGAAGTGCTACTGATTGATTTACTTGCTTTTTCCAGGGAGATCTGTAAGACTTGAGACAGGAGCAGAAAGGCAGGCAGGAAAATGTCATTCAGCTCTAATCCACATCACTCCAAACGTTGTGGTCGTCTTGGCTACCATTTGTTGAGAGCTTGTGGTTTCCAGCTGGTGCTAAATCTGGCTTAAAAGGAGAAGGAATTTGACCTTCTCTGAGTGATGCAACTTCCTGCCTCTGATTAATTGAGTCTTAAAAAACGGAGGGACTTCTCAGTAAGGGAGAAGGGCAGGAACTGTATCTGGCCAGCGTATCAGTTTGGGTGGTGGCTATGCTTGATCACACCTGGTAGTTCACTAGTAGTTTCAGAACAGAAGCACGTAGTGTTTGCTCCCTTGGGGGAGAAAAATAGCTTGGGCAGGAAGGGGAAGAGGGCAGGGGAAGGATGCAGCCTTTAGTCAAGCCAGCACAGCGGCCTTCCCAAATCCTGTGCTTTTGGCCATCCATTGCCAGCTGCAAAGCACCGTCTTGGGCTGACCAGCGTGACTTGGAGCACTGCAGCTTGTCCTGGCTGGCGAGGAGGAGATGGGTGGACATGAGACTCAGTCTGTAAGGGCTGGTCCCCGAGCGATGCTGAGCTGCCTGGGGCACCTCTGTGCATGTCAGGGAAGAGCTGGAAGGGCTCCTCAGGATGCCTGCAAGACCTGGCTTGCATGGATGGATTGAGGTGGTCTCTGCCAGCTGCTTTTCAAGCCTCCTTCAAGATTTGAAAGTGGTCAGTAGTTGGCTTAATTAGGAGGGGAAATGATTAAGACTTTCTCAAGTCAAGGCAACTGCAATGAGGCTGCACTTTTACTAAAGAGAAAGCGAGTGAGAAATGATTCCCTTGGGTCTTTGCTTTCGGATCTTTCTTTCAAAGGAGCAGAGTGGGTCCTGACCATGTCTTGGTTGGCCCTGGTGATGCCAAGGGGTTGAGATGCCTGCAGTCTGTGCTCGCTGCACTTCCCAGGGTGTGTTGGCTGGAGAAAGGAGAGATGATGCTGTGTGACAGCCTATGGAAAGGTCTCTCCTCTCTGTCCTCTCTCTTATTTCTGTAGTTTAGGAAGAGGTGGGAGCAGAAAGCTAGAAGGAGCCCTGCGGGTAGGAGATGKGGGTGAATCTCTGGAGTGAGAGAAGGGGCCCAAAGCTGTGTTTCTTGAACACTTACCTTCCCTGGTCACCACGAAGCTGCCAAGATGCTTCTCATCTCTGCGTGGGCTGCAGCGCTAGGCAGGGRGCAATGTTTGCTCCATGAGTGCTTGGGTGTAAAGCTGGTGGTTTTGCACACCCTAACTAGTGCTGGGAGTGGAGTGGAAAGGAAGAGCCAGGGAAAAAGGTCMGAAAAGCTGCTGAGCCCACATGAGGTCATTGCGAGAGGAAGAAATCCCTGCCATCTCCGCGCTGAACAAAATCCTGCTCAGCAGCTGGCAGTGCCGAGGGTCCCGTCCCCCTCCCCAGCCCATTCAGGGTCCAACAAATGGCATGAAATAGCTCGGAGACGCTCTGCTGTTTGCAGGCCCCTTCATGGGATGGAGCCAGT